TGACGATGATAATAATAACGATGATGGTGGTGATGATGATGATGATTAGGTTGATAAGGATGTTGTTGATGATGACGATGATGATGATGAGGATAATAATGACGATGATGATGGTGATGGTGATGAAAATGATGATGGTGGTGTTGATAATGACAATGTTGATGGTGATGATGACGATGATGGTGGTGGTGATAATGACGATGATGGTGGTGATGATGACGATGATTATGTTGATAAGGATGTTGTTGATGATAATGATGATGATGACGATGATAATAATGATGGTGGTGGTGGTGATAATGATGATGATGTTGATGACGATGATGACGATGATGATGATGGTGACAGTAATATAGTATACATACGTGTAAGGGCCACACCAGCAAAAACCCAGCACTGTCCATATCTGACAGTCTTGTTGGTGCTACAGAACTGTTCCAGAATCTTCAGACTGCCATTCCACGAGGTGGCGTTCTCGCCATCGCTGTAGTCCCCAGGTCCCCACTTGCCATAGAGGATACCATAGTCGTCTTGATAATTGACCTAACCATTGGAAGAAGCAGAGATCGGTCAGATGCTTATTCTCACTGTTAAACAGGCAGCAGGAAGGGAGCACAGAGAGGAGAGTGACTGGATGGGTTGGGGTAAAACCGGGAAGGTTGGAGAGGGGGAGCGGGTAGGAGAGAAAAAATTGCAGTCAAGAAAAGTCACTGGATTATCAAAGATATTCGTTCATGTGTGTGAATGTGATCATGTCTAGGTACTAGCTACAAATATTTCTGCATTCACCAAAGATGGCAAATTGGATTTGAGGAGTTGGAAGGATCAAAATTCAATACAGTAAAATAACACAAGTATTTAGACAGCTAATATACCGTCACTCTTTTTTTTTCCTGTACACATACATATCAATTTTTTTTCCAACAGTATAGAACAAGCCCAATCAGCACAGAGGAATATCTCTTACAAAGCATATTCCTTCCCATCCTATGATACCAGTGCCAGACACTGTCACTTATTACAGACCAGAAGGAAATTAGTAGTCATAGAAGTGAACAGTCTGAGAGTAGCTGCAGCAGTTACCATAAGAGACAAAATTAGAAATGAGAACTTAAGATTAAAACGTCTACATAGAACCAGTGCTAAACTGCATTCAAAGGCAGCAAATAAAAATGGTTTGTCCACTCAGACAGAATGTATTGCGACGCTATACCATACAAGACAAAGAGAGGCGACGAGAATAGCAAGAATCAGAGCCCTATAAATCCAGCGAAACCTAGTCATCTAACGGGGGACATAAAGAAGAGAAAGTTCGTTTCTAGATAATAACTACATACATTATGGTTATGTCAGGATACTAGTTATAGATTTGTGTAAGTGCCTAAATAATAGCTATAGATTTGTCTAAATGTCAAAAATACTATCTATAGATTTGTGTAAATATCTAAATACTAGTTATAGATTTGTGTCAACATTCCAGATACTAGATATAGATATATGTCCAGGACTAGATACTAGCTATACACATGTGACAATGTCTAGATACTTATTATGTGTATGTGTGTGTGTGTGTGTGTGTGTGTGTGTGTGTGTCAATATCTAAATATGAGCAATTGATATATGTCTATGTCTAGATATGAACTATTGATATGTGTCCGTGTCTAGATATGAGCAACTGATATGTGTCCAAGTTTAGATATAAACAATTGATATGTGTCCGTACCTAGATATGAACTATCGATATCTGTCCATGTATAGATATGAACTATTGATATCTGTCCATGTCTAGATATGAACTATCGATATATGTCCATGTATAGATATGAACTATTGATATCTGTCCATGTATAGATATGAACTATTGATATCTGTCCATGTATAGATATGAACTATCGATATCTGTCCATGTATAGATATGAACTATTGATATCTGTCCATGTCTAGATATGAACTATCGACATCTGTCCATGTATAGATATGAACTATTGGTATCTGTCCATGTCTAGATATGAACTATCGATATATGTCCATGTATAGATATGAAATATTGATATCTGTCCATTTCTAGATATGAAATATTGATATCTGTCCATGTCTTGATATAAACTATCGATATCTGTCCATGTCTAGATATGAAATATTGATATCTGTCCATTTCTAGATATGAAATATTGATATCTGTCCATGTCTAGATATGAAATATTGATATCTGTCCATTTCTAGATATGAAATATTGATATATGTCCATGTCTAGATATGAAATATTGATATCTGTCCACTATCTCCAGGAACTGGTGGTTGTCTGCGTAGGTTTATGTCAATGTCTCATACTAGATACAGGCATGTGATACTAGCTATGTGTGTGATGTGTGTACGTTTGTGTGTATGTGTGTTTCTGTGTATGTATATATATATACATATATATTGTATGTATGTGTCTGTGTGTGTGTCTGTGTGTGTATGTCCATGACTAGATACTATCTATGGATTTGTAACCACATCTAGATACTAGCTATAGATTTGTAACCACATCTAGATACTAGCTATAGATTTGTAACCACATCTAGATACTAGCTATAGATTTGTAACCACATCTAGATACTAGCTATAGATTTGTAACCACATCTAGATACTAGCTATAGATTTGTGTCCATGTCTAGATGCTATCTATAGATTTGTGTCCATATCTGGACACTAGCTATTGAGTTGTGTCTATGTCTAGATAGATACTAGCTATAGATTTGTGTCCATGTCTAGATGCTATCTATATATTTGTGTCCATATCTGGACACTAGCTATTGAGTTGTGTCTATGTCTAGATAGATACTAACTATAGATTTGTGTCCAGGTCTAAACTAACTATAGATGTGTCTCTATGTCTAGATGCTATCTATATATTTGTGTCCATTTCTGGATACTAGCTATAGATTTGTCCACATATCTGGATGCTACCTATAGATTTGTGTCCTTGTCTGGATATAAGCTATAGATTTGTGTTTATGTTTTGATGCTGTCTATAGATATGTAACCACGTCTGGATAGTAGCTATAGATATGTGTCCATGTCTATGTACTAGATCCACACGTATGTGTGTATGTATATATATATATATATATATATATATATATATATATATATATATATATATATATGTGTGTGTGTGTGTGTGTGTGCATGGCTAGATACTGACTATAGATTAGTGTCGATGAGATACTATCTATAGACATGTGACCATGTCTAGATACTAGCTATAATGAGTGTTCGTGTCTGGATACTATCCATATATGTGTGTCTATGTCTGGATACTAGCTACAAACATTTCTGCATAAGAGCATACCTAAACATTAGATGCTTACAAAGCTATGCTTAGCAATTCAAATTTGAGGTTTGAGATTTGAGCAACGGATCAACATCATGGTACACGGGTAGTAACCCATAAGTGCTCCGTTCTTCTTCTAGCTCAAGTCTGAGTCTGAAGAAGCTCAGCACAGTGCACAGGCTCTGTAGCACCGGCGAGTATCATAAAATACTTGTGGTAGATTGTTAACTCCAAATTTTGCCCGGGCAGCACCGTTAGGCTACTCTTTTCAATTTCCAACTGCCGAGGTACTTTTTTTTCGTGTGTAATACTACACACAGGCGTCCGATCTCACTAGGCGTAGACTAGGGATAATTACTAGAAGTCCAAGTTCACGTGAAAAAATATTCCAGCCTATACCGGGGATTGAACCCGGAACCTCTAGCACTCGAGGTGGACAGCATGCCTCGAGACCACGGAGCTCCCTCTTCTACGTATCAATGTTAGTAAAGTCGCTGCCATTTACGTCATCACTAAAATAAAAAAAAAGGTAAAGTCGGGAGATGTGAACCAGCGTCATTGCACACGGTTATAAACCACAAGTGCTCTGCCACCAGTACGGACAGCTGATAAGAATGCCCGCCTGTGTCGCCGTTCGCACGTAACTCTGTGGCTACAGCGACGTTCCTCCATTTACCCCAGAGTGTCAACTCTGGTACCCATTTCCTAGAGGCTGGGTGAACCCCGGGAGCCGCCCGGGTTCGAACACCGACCGTGGGCTACAGCGAGTCGCAGTTGGATTTGAAAGCGAGTCTCTTATCGAGTGCGCTAACGCGTCATCACTATCCGCAGGTGCCCAATAAATGTCACTATCTGACCCTGACTAACTGTGGTCAGCGAAATGAAAACTCACCACAGTCGCAATGCTTCTTGTCACAGTAACTGGGACGCCACGTTGAGTCCAACTCATTTTAGCAAGCTCTAGGGCATCCAGGGTTATATCCAGGATCGATGAATCAAACTGAAACAATGAACAAATTTATAGTGCAACGTAAACAAATAGGGATTAAGTTTTGGATTGCACGCAAACTTTGTGACAATATACGGGGATTGGATATTTGATAGCACGTAGACAGTGACAATATACTGTACGTGGATTGAATATTTGACAGCACACAGACATAGTGGTAGTATATAGAGAAGAAGAAGTATAAGAAGAAAAAGAAGAAGAAGAAGAAGAAGAAGAAGAAGAAGAAGAAGAAGAAGAAGAAGAAGAAGAAGAAGAAGAAGAAGAAGAAGAAGAAGAAGAAGAAGAAGAAGAAGAAGAAGAAGAAGAAGAAGAAGAAGAAGAAGAAGAAGAAGAAGAAGAAGAAGAAGAAGAAGAAGAAGAAGAAGAAGAAGAAGAAGAAGAAGAAGAAGAAGAAGAAGAAGAAGAAGAAGAAGAAGAAGAAGAAGAAGAAGAAGAAGAAGAAGAAGAAGAAGAAGAAGAAGAAGAAGAAGAAGAAGAAGAAGAAGAAGAAGAAGAAGAAGAAGAAGAAGAAGAAGAAGAAAAAGAAGAAAAGAAGAAGAAGAAGAAGAAGAAGAAGAAGAAGAAGAAGAAGAAGAAGAAGAAGAAGAAGAAGAAGAAGAAGAAGAAGAAGAAGAAGAAGAAGAAGAAGAAGAAGAAGAAGAAGAAGAAGAAAAAGAAGAAGAAAGTGTTTACCTGACAAAAGTTCCAAGCCTTAGGGACAATGCGATCGTGGGAGCCCATAAAAATGATACCATGACTGTTAAGGACATATTCGTTGAGCAATGCCTTTTCCGCGAAATACACTTCATCCTCTGTAGAGCATCATTCACATGCAAGTCCAGACATTATCAATGTAGATCATAATAACAATTAGAAAACAATACATAATGTATATATATAATGCACGTTTTCTTTGTAATTAGCACTGGATTTGTTTTTCTGCTGTTCAGACTGACACAATTTTTTTGACTTTCTGTTACAGTTATGTCCACCATATCTTCTAGTTGTGTTTCATTGCCAGCAATACAAACTACATCGACAGCACATCGCAGGTTTATAACACGGCCAGCTCTAGTATAAATCTGGAGCTGGCCGTGGTTTTAAACTATATGCCTACCAAGCGACATCCCTGAGATACCAGGAAAGAAAATGTCGTTGGTGAGTACATAAATTGAATCTACAGCAACATAGCATTATACCAGGCATGGGTAAGTATATAAATAATTTCTACAACAAATTAGCATTGTACCAGGCGTAGCTAAATACAAAAAAAAAGGTTTCTACAACTTAGCATTGTACCACGCGTTGGTGAGTATATAAATGGTATCTACAGCAATATAGCATTGTAGCAGTCGTTGGTGAGTATATAAATGGTATCTACAGCAATATAGCATTGTAGCAGTCGTTGGTGAGTATATAAATGGTATCTACAGCAATATAGCATTGTAGAAGTCGTTGTTGAGTATATAAATGGTCTCTAGAACTTACCCTTGCACCAGGGGTTGAAGAGGACATAAATGTGAGTCTCATGCTGGTATAAGAAAATGATGGTATCAAAACCCTGCTGCTTGCCCACAAGTATGGCGAACCTCCAGCGAGCCACATAGCAGTTTGCGGGCGAGGTGAGGTCCACGCTGACAATATTCTCCTGAAGGAAAAGAAATTATTAACAGGTGAATTTTTATGCATGAAAAGAAATTATTAACTAGTGAATTTTTATGCATGAAAAAGAAATTATTAACTAGGGAATTTGTATGCATGAAAAGAAATTATTAACCAGTGAATTTTTATGCATGAAAAGAAATTATAAACCAGTGTATTTGTATGCATGAAAAGAAATTATTAACTAATGAATTTTTATGCATGAAAAGAAATTATTAACTAGTGAATTTGTATGCATGAAAAGAAATTATAAACCAGTGAATTTTTATGCATGAAAAGAAATTATTAACTAGTGAATTTGTATGCATGAAAAGAAATTATTAACTGGTGAATTTGTATGCATGAAAAGAAATTATTAACTGGTGAATTTGTATGCATGAAAGGAAATTATTAACTGGTGAATTCGTATGAATGAAAATAAACTATTAACTGGTGAATTTTTATACATGAAAAGAAATTATTAACTGGTGAACTTTTATGCATGAAAAGAAATTATTAACTGGTAAAATGTTGTCCATGAAATGAAATTATTAACGGGGGAATTTGTATGCATGATTAAAAATCATTACCTGGTGAATTTTTATGCATGACAAGAAATTATTGACTGGTGAATTGTTATGCATGAAAAGAAATTATTAACGGGTGAATTTTTATGAATGAAAAGAAATTATTCAATGGTGAATTTTTATGCATGAAAAGAAATTATTAACTGGTGAACTTTTATGCATGAAAAGAAATTATTAACTGGTAAAATTTTGTCCATGAAATGAAATTATTAACGGGGGAATTTGTATGCATGATTAAAAATTATTACCTGGTGAATTTTTATGCATGACAAGAAATTATTAACTGGTGAATTGTTATGCATGAAAAGAAATTATTAACGGGTGAATTTTTATGAATGAAAAGAAATTATTCAATGGTGAATTTTTATGCATGAAAAGAAATTATTCACTGGTGAATTTTTAGGAATGAAAAGTAATTATTAACTGGTGAATTGTTACGCATGAAAAGAAATTATTAACGGGTGAATTTTTATGAATGAAAAGAAATTATTCACTGATGAATTTGTATGCATGAAAAGAAATTATTAACTGGTGAATTTTTATGCAGGAAAAGAAATTATTAACTGGTGAATTTTTGTGCATGAAAAGAAATTATTAACTGGTGAATTTGTATGCATGAAAAGAAATTATTAACTGTTGAATTTGTATGCATGAAAAGAAATTATTATCTGTTGAATTTGTGTGCATGAAAAGAAATTGTTAACTGGCGAATTTTTGTGCATGAAAAGAAATTTTTAAATGATGAATTTGTATGCATGAAAAGAAATTATTAACAGGTGAATTTGTATGCATGAAAAGAAATTATTAACTGGTGAATTTTTATGCATGATAAGAAATTATTAACTGGTGAATTTTTATGCAAGAAAAGAAATTATTAACTGGTGAATTTTTATGCATGAAAAGAAATTATTATCTGTTGAATTTGTATGCATGAAAAGAAATTATTAACTGGAGAATTTTTATCCATGAAAAGAAATTATTAACTTGTGAATGCTTATGCATGAAAATAAATTATTAACTGGTGAATTTGTAAGCATGAAAAAAAATTATTAACTGGTGAGTTTTTATGCATGAAAAGAAATTATTAACTGGTGAATTTTAGTGCACGAAAAGAAATTATTAACTGGTGAATTTGTATGCATGAAAACAAATTACTAACTGGTGAATTTGTATGCATGAAAAGAAATTATTAACTGGTGAATTTTAGTGCACGAAAAGAAATTATTAACTGGTGAATTTGTATGCATGAAAACAAATTACTAACTGGTGAATTTGTATGCATGAAAAGAAATTATTAACTGGTGAATTTGTATGCATGAAAACAAATTACTAACTAGTGAATTTGTATGCATGAAAAGAAATTATTAACTGGTGAATTTGTATGCATGAAAAGAAATGATTAACTGGTGAATTTTTATGCATGAAAAGAAATGATTAACTGGTGAATTTTTATGCAGGCCGGTTTTTTCCTACTTAGTATGCATAGCCTGTGAACGCTAGAGCAGTGATTCTCAACCTTTTCTTACGCTGCGACCCTTTAATGAGTTCCTCATGCTGTGGCGACCATCAAACATTTATTTTTCTTGATAACTTCAATGAATATGTGCTTTTGATGATCTTAGGCGACCCCTGTGAAAGGGTCGTTCGAGCCACACACACACACACACACACAAAAGGGTCGCTACGTGTAGGTTGATGAAAACCGCTGCTCTAGTGGAAAGTTCTGGTTGTTCCTCCACTTCTGGACTTTGGTCTTGTTCTAGAACTTAAGTTTTGCGTGCATATCCGTTAAACAGAACTGGCTCAGTTATATGCAGACTGTTGATACCTCGCCTTTAAGTAACCAGATGAATCGCGACATCGAAGAAAACTGCTTATTGGTTGAGTTTTACGTCATGCTTCATCATCATCAATCATCATCATGTAACATGACCTTCGCCGAACGTCGCTCTCATCACACCCTGTCTGAAAGAAACTCGGTATTTCGCCAGCTCTCCCACCTCCTGTACTTTAACATTCAAGATGTAACATATCCTATGATAATTTTTCGAGTTGGTCGGCCCCTTTCCCTTCTTCCTGGTATTTTTCTAACCCGCTATGGCGCTTGATATGATCAAAATATTTCAGCTTCCAAAACGAGATTCCGTTTATTAGACAATCGTACCAATCTTTTGAAATGTCAATATTTTTTTTTTTTCTTTGACAATAATATTCAGAGTATCTTTCTATAGCATGTCAGTGTCAAAAGCTCCAATGTTTGTTCCTCGAGGACTGCTTGATCACACTAGTTACAGAAATCTGTCTCCCTCACCTTACACAACTATCTCTAGCAGTAGTTGATCCTCATTAGAGTCTGATAAATAACTGTGCAGGTACATTGAGTGTGCGTAACGAGCCAATCCTACCTTTACTGAGACAATTTTCGCACGCCACTTGTTGTTTTGGCTGTCCTGTGATGGGTCGATGACCACATAAGTTCCTTTGTTGACCAGAGGGCTGTCCCCTGTGGGGTGAGAGGTTTAGGCGTATGTAGGTAGAAACAGGTATTCATATGTAGGTAGAAACAGGTAGGCAATTGTAGGTACAAACAGCGGAATCATATATGTATACAAACAGGTGAGTTATATGTATGTACAAACAGGTGAGGCATATATACATAAAAACAGGTGAGGTATATGCACATACAAACAAGTGAGGTATATTACGTACAAACAGGTAAGGCATATGTACATAGAAACAGTTGAAGCATATGTACTTACAAACAGATGAGGGATCTGTATATACAAACAGTTGAAGCATATGTACATACAAACAGATGAGAGATCTGTACGTACAAACAGGTGAAGCATATGTACATACAAACAGGTGAGGCATATGTACATACAAACAGATTAGTAATCTGTACGTACAAACAGGTGAGACATATGTACATACAAACAGGTGAAACACTTATAAATACAAACAGGTGAGGCATATCTACATAAACAAGGCTCACTTTACATAATATCTTGTCTTATCCCCCATTAAAGATTAACGACTGGTAAATTATATAAATTATTTATTTCTTATTTAATCCATTGATCAATATTCGTAGAAAAAATGACACACTAGACAACATAAAAACCCGAAACAGTAAACTATAAGTGGGAATCCAACCTGTGACCTTTAAATAACGACAGCACCTGGCTGAAGGACAACATTACTAAGTCGTATGACCAACTGATACCACTTTAACATAATAGGGCGTCTTCGTCTTATGCACACTGTTTCCATGACCCTAGTGGTTTTCTATCTATTTACTACTAGCACATATTTGTTTAACTGTGGTTCTAAAGACAATAAAACAAAGAAAATTGAAATATTTTGGTCACTTGAAACGTCATGGAAGTCTAGAGGAACAATAATGGAGGGGTATATGCCTGGGAAAGAGAGGAAGAGGAAGGCCAAGGGAAGATGGGTGATGTGGCAGATGATCTCCAGATGGGTGTATCAGACGCAGGACATCTTGCTCAGGTAGGAAGGTTTTCCGGTACGTTGTTAGAGCGAGGTTCCGAGAGGGAGAGAGAATGATGTGGGTTAATTGGAGTGTGTATACGTTTGTGTGTGTACGTGTGAGAGAGAGAGAGAGAGAGAGAGAGAGAGAGAGAGAGAGAGAGAGAGATCTTGAATCATCTGTGTCTCCTAAACTGGCTGCATGTGGTTTTTTTATCTTATGTAACAGATGTGTTAACTGGACACCAACTACCTAATAAGCAGGTCTAGATGCATCCATTTAACATACCACATATACCGGGGATCATATGCGTATAAACTAGGGCTGTACCGAATATTCGCTTCGTATTCGCTTCGGGTTCGAATAGTGGACCTATGACTATTCGGTATTCGGCTGAATACTTTGCGGTCGGGCAGAAATACGAATAGTTTGTTACTTACAAACTTTTGTATATACACCTAATAATACTGACAACATAGAACGAAGTTTTTGTTGAAAGCTAATGAAGCTTTCATGCATTAAACACCCCATGACATTTTTCCAAATTTAGTTACTGTTTACCATAACACTAGGATTCTTTTCACCTAGTTATAAGTTACCACTGGCTGCTCTGCACAGTTTGGTGGAATACTGATGCATGATAAAGCAGACGTTTAGTTCCTTACACCCAGAGCTTGTACTTCGGAGGAGCAGATTGATCACCACAGTGTGGTGAGATTGATGCATCCATTCACAGAGGTTCTGACATACTCTGGCTCAGAGGAAAGACAGACGGGTGTGTAATCTTATCACCACCATTGCTCGAAACTCTTCGCTGGCTGCTGAAGATGGGGACGGAGCGCTTACATGCCCGAGTGCTGTGAGGGCGGTTCTTGAATCAAATCAAATCACAGTTACCACAGATGACTGAAGGATGCAAAACATAAA